GCACCCGTTTTCGCTCCTTTGGGCGCGGAAGATGTTCGCGCTTAAATTAATCTTAAATTAATGACGTCATTATAGCGCGAAAGTGAAAAAGCTAAAATTAGATTTTCTTAGACAAAAGGCCTTGAAAACTACTGGTTTGTCCGATTAAGGTCAGTTTGCCATCAAAATGTTTATAGATTTTTCAGATTGTTGAAAACCGTATTGCAAAAAAATGCTAACCGAAAATGTTAAACTGATTGTTGTCATATTTTACTTACTCTTCATATTATCTGTTAAGTTGCCGACAATTTACAGATTTTGAAGGAGGTTTTTGTAATGTCTTACAGGATACGAGAGTGCCGCACAGTTTGAGCGGTTTGAGCGGTTTGGGCGGTTTGGCCGGTTTTTTTGGAAAAACCGCTCAAACCGCTCAAATCTTGCTTAAACAACCGCTCAAAAACCGCTTATTTCTTGCGGTGATTTTTGAATGGTTTTTCAAGCAAGATTTGAGCGGTTTTTGACCGGTTTTTGAATGGTCTTATAAAGAAAACCGATTAAAACCAACAAAAAGGCCTGGAAAGGTAATGTGACCCCGGGTTGACATCCATGAACCAAAAATGCTTATTTTAAATTTCCCCACACCAAAAAAGCTTATCATACAATTGCCTGCATCAAATGTATGGAAAAATGCTAATCAAACAATTTTCAAACAATTTCAAAAAACCATTGAAAAAAGATTCAATCTAGTTTCTCCGGCTATTTGAACCAAATACAACAGTCTGGTGATGAAAAATAACTACGTTTATTTTTTTTTTTAAATGGTTATCATACAATTTCCAAATATGAAAATTGTATGATAACCCTTCTTTCATGAAAGGCAAGATTTTCATAAATTTTTCAATCTTGTTAATAAACAAATTTAAATTTAAGAGTGCTTTTGCTCAATTTAAAGGACAATGCTCATCAAAAACGAAAATTCAATTTGAAGCTAAAAAAGTAGTTTTTTGTTTTGAAATGAGATATTTGTCATGATCCTAAAATACCATGATGTCATTGAACTGTAATATCAAACATTATCCAGGAGAAATAGTTAACACTTTTCAATTGTGGAATTTCCAACGGAAATTTTGCTGTTTGATTATTATATAATACTGTAAGTATCACCAAATTGTTCATTCTGATCAAGTATACAACAATCACTAACCAATTAGTCCAGCTACCCTCAACAACGATAGCTGTATTAATATATCGCTTTTACATATTACTCAAGTCCTGACCTCTAAGTCATCATTTGATAACAGGAGTATGGGATTGCCATCAAAGCGATACGAATTCATGCGGAAGTATTTTTGGTCAACCCACGCTAAGATGCAGTTGAAATACTATCTACAACTTAAAAAAGTGCTTAACTGTTCTCAAATCAAGCAATTTTTTTTTCGATGTCTTGACCAAAAACAATGTGAGCGACTTTTTTCAAATGCTCGAGCAAAATAACCACTGGAAAATACGTAAGATTTGAGCGGTTTGAGCGGTTTTTTTAGACAGTTACGCTCAAAATCTTGCTTCAAAATGAGCAGTTTGAGCGGTATTTGAACGGATTATCTAAAAAAACCGCGCAAAATTTAAGCGGTTTGAGCGGTTTTTTTAGACAATTACGCTCAAAATCTTGCTTCAAAATGAGCGGTTTGAGCGGTTTTTAAACGGTTTATCTAAAAAAACCGCTCAAAAACCGCGCAAGATTTGAGCGGTTTGAGCGGTTTTTTTAGACAATTACGCTCATAATCTTGCTTCAAAATGAGCGGTTTATTCAAAAAAAATCACTCAAAAACCGCGCAAGATTTGAGCTGTTTTTGAGCGGTTTTTTTAGATAAACCACTCAAAACCGTTCAAATCTTGCGCGGTTTTTTCAGATTAAACCGTTCAAAAACCGCTCAAACCGCTCATTTTGAAGCAAGGTTTTGAGCGTAATTGTCTAAGAAAACCGCTCAAACCGCTCAAATCATGCTTCAAATTAGGTGAAAAATCTCGACTCGGGTTTTGATTAAGTGCTTGTCACTTAGAATGAATTCGCAATCACTATTCTGTGTTCGCAGCATCCGTTCAAATTATTGCATCGGGTTACTTTCCCTGCTTCTACAGCTGTTGTTTCGGCAATTCCCTAGTGGTTGCGGACAGGAGCTCGTGCCAGATATAGTTTTTTTTTCTCGCAAGTTTCAGTTATCACAAATACAGATGAGGTCGAGCGCTAAAGTATAATTATATCTTTCATGGATGTCCCATCAGTATAAGTTGACAAAACTTTGTCTCGTTGACGAGAAAAGCTGCTCTGAACGTTTTTAGTTTTTAGGTTACTGCTAGTCTAATTTAAAATATGATTAGAGAAACTTTTGATTGATTGAGTGCGTTTTTTGTTCGCTTTAACCTTCGTGTGTCGAGAAGCTTCTTCAATCAATAATTGAACAGCCAACGGCAATTTATCATACAATTTCATACATCATATGCATAGAAAAAATGCTAATCAAACAATTTTCATACAATTTCAAAAAAACTTTGAAAAACGATTTGAACCAAATAAAGCAGTCTGGTGATGAAAAAAAACAATGTTTCTTTTTTTTGGAAAAAATGGTTACCATACAATTTCCATATATGAAAATTGTATGACTAGCAATTTTTTGATGGCGACTACAAAAATTTTTCAAGATAAAATTGAAATTGCCCCAACATTTTTTGATTTTTTTCTCAACCGCAAATTGAATTTTTTACTCAAACAAACACTTTCCAAAAAAATTTTTTTGCATGCAAATTTTGTTTTTTTTTCTGCATAACGTAGTCCTGGATACACAAAATTTGAATTTTTTTTTCTTTTTCTCTGGATGATTTTTTTTTCAAACTGGCTAAAAACTCCCATTTCTTTTGTATGGCATGTTTATATATGGCTTGATTAACGTCTGATATTTTGAAAATTTTAATTTTGAAGATAACGATCTTTCAAGTTCTTGCCAAAAATTAAAAGTTTGATAAATGCAGAAAATCTTGCAAAATTTTGCACGACGAGCGAAACAAAAATAAAGTGATAAAAAACCATTTTATTGTGATTTCCTACTTATTATAAAATCCATTTTAATGAATCCCGAACGAATTATATTGCGTTTTGAATTAGCGAGAAAAAATGGATATAAATCCATCTTTAGTCCAATTTTGTTGTCTGTATGTAACTTGGGAATTAACTATATTTACAACTTTTCAGACCTCGAAAATCCATTATATTCGATTTTTTTCACTTCTCATAATTGCTGGTTATATTGTTTTTTTTTTCTCTTTGCTTAATGATTTTATTCGAAAACGCTAAAAACTCCTGTTTTGTTTTGTCTGGAGTGCTTAAGTATGCCTTGATCAATGTCTGATGATGTAAAAATTCAGATTTAAAAGTCAAACCTTCGGTGACTTATCCATTAAAATCGATTGGAATGGATGGGCGCTCGGTGCGAGCGGGTTGAGCTCGCATTGAATATTAACGACAAAAAAGTGAAACAAAAACAGTGATCGCCATCAGTGAAACTTCGCTGTTCATTGCCACAATAGCAAATTTTATTATTAATTTTTCGCTATTTTGGCTTATTTTCAGCGATAAAACAGTTATAAAAACCTAACAAACGAGCAAAAATCGTGCACTATCAGTGGTTCGATCCCTCAACCTTCAGTTTTGTAGACATTCACGCTATTCCTGCGCTATCAGTCTTTAGCTGACATTAAGTTAAGTGGCTTATCAACTAAAACTCATTTGAAAGCTACAAGAACGAGTTGAAACATTTTACGTTTTAGCGATGACTTTCCACGGAATCATTACTAAAATAGCTCTGAAACATCGCAGATTTAGCTATGCAAAATACTCTGAATTATACTTAAATCAGCGCTTGAATATAGTGGTTACTGGGATACTACAGAAAAAGCGATAGTTAAGAGTGGGATTTCAACACGGGGTGTCTTTTGGGCTAGAGCCTTGTTCTCGGCAGAAACCAGGTGGGCCTTCGGCAATCGATGAAGATGAGGAGGAACAAACCAAAGAGTTCAGCAGCAGTTCTGCAGCTCCACCACAGTGTTGTACAAACCCAACAAACTTCAAGCTTCTGCAAAATATTCATGGTCATAAATACCACCTATCATGAAGATAATAACTTTTGGCTCTTTGCGGCCACCGTTGTGTCTATTTTGCAACTCGCTCACAAATTACTATAAATCAAAATGAAGTTCAACTTGAGAAGTGAAAATTAAATGAAATAAAACAAAATGAAATTTTTTTCCTAAAATTTGAACTTTTGTTATAAAAACCATCCCCCCACAAGCCATATAAAGTACAAGAGGATAGATCTCGCTCCTTGTAACAAATCAAATATGGTAAATAAGCTATTTTCAACCAATTTGGAACGATTTCTAACCGGACTAACTCTCCGCTTACGCGTTACTAGCGCGAAATATATCGCGCGTTAATTGTCCCAAGTTGATCAAAATGGCAATCTTTAAACCCCCGTAACTTTACGAAAAATGATCACAGGTGAATTATCGTCTCAAATTTGAGCTCTCAGGACAACGATACCTTTCGAATGATTAAAAAAAAATTCCTTCAAAAATGGCTAGTTAAAAAGTCAAAATTTGTCTGATGAAAAAAAACCCACCCCGAGCATAAATATTCCGTTACTTTCGTATCGAAAGTCGGAATAAAAACCGCAACATAATGGATAAATAATCAGCGAAAATTTCGGTCTCTATTCTAGCAGTGTGTAATTTTTCGGCGCCCACTCCCCCTCAAAATTAGTATATATTGGAGGGGGATATTAGTATATATTGGAGATATCTTGTAAAGAAATCTGCTTCGACAAAAATTACTCAGCTAGTTTTTTGGGAGAAAATATAACAAGTAAGTTACTCTGTATCGCAAGTTTGTTCGTCATGCTTAGAATAGATTTTTGTTACAGTTTTTTACCTCACAGTACTCACATCAGTTGTAATCTCGCTTCATTTAGATTTTCGCCTCAACCTTGCGCACATGTCCGAGATGCCAAGACAACCGAATCGACGACTCTGTCATTGTGACCGATTTAGTTGAAGCCAAACTTAGCCACAACCAGGTCTATGGCTTGTCTGCGTCTGACTGTCAGGACCCTGTCAACCTACCCGTGTATAGTCTTCATGACGAATCAAAGCAGAATCGAGAAACCAACTTGGCGTCATTAGTGGCCAACTGTGAACATGTGGACCAGATTCGGCTGAAAGATACCTTTGTAGATTCTAACCTACTGGTGGCAAAAGTAGGCCAAGTCTCCCATTTCATCCAGCTTCTATCCTTACTTTCCCAAGTGGGCAGAAAGAGATACTTGGAGACAAAGTTCGAAAAGATACAAATCGACGGCCGAGTTGAGGCTCACATCTCACTTCAAATCTCGTCACACTTTCAAAACCAACAAAGTGAGGATGGAGGAGAAAACGAACAGACTAAGTTCATGTCCGTTTGGATCAAAATGCGTTCGGACAGAGTGAACAAATACTTGGTCACGATCTTCATCAGGACACCAGCGGGGAGAGAGAACTACATGAAGGCAGTTCAGATTGAAGTAGAGCGGGTGGACTGTGAAGCGATTGGGGGAATACGAGAGTTCATTAGCTTAGAAGAGCTTCAATCCATTGTTACGAATGGTAGTGTTTTGTTTGGAGTCAAAGTCGATATTATATAGCTACTGAAAAGTGCAAAAAAAAACATAAAAGCAAATTAAGATCATAAAATAGTGTTTCCAGTATTGATTTGAAAAATATATATATTATTTTAAACAAGTATCTTATTTGAAACATCATTTAAAAACTTAAAACTTGAGATCAACGCAATGCTAAAGATCAAAAAGTATGTGGTAGAGAAAGAAAATCGAACATCACCTGGCAAAACTCAAGAAAACAACCTGAGTATCAAAAACTAAAACTACCATCGTGAGGATAATGCGTAAGAAACACTCAAAATAATAACCAATTCAATTGATCCATTGATGAAACTTTTGGGAGTCTCACCAACAATTCGCCAAAATTCATGGCAAAAAAAAAACAACACCTTCTTTTCTTGGTTAAGTTTATCTTGAAAAACTGTATAGATTGAATTAGCTAACACTTTTCAACAGATCCAGTGTATGGAAATGTATAAGAAACAATTTCGGTCCATGCTGGTCATCCCGGGTATCTTTTTGTACAAGGATCAAGTCTCAACTGCAGTCCTAAATTACCCCAAGTTTACCTGAAAGTTGTACCTCATTTTTGAACTCATCTTCAGAAATAAATGGTCAATTTCAAGATTGTACATTAACAAATAATCTGTCGACCAAGGCAAGTTTCGACCATCTCGATCAAAACTGGTCGTTTTCCGCCTTTCTCATCAATTAATCTTTTTGAAAAGACATCGATAGAGCGTTTAAAAAACTCTGTTTTGACGTTCATCTTGAATATATATTTTTATCCTGCTTAATGAATGCACCGAATGCGCTCACGGTTTAATTTCTCCAGGCTCGAGATAGTTTTGTCTAGGCTTCGACCATTATCGAGACTTGTTTCGACCATGCTCGAAATTTGTTTCGATCGTGCTCGAGATTTGTTTCGACTATGCTCGAGATTTATTTTGATCATGCTTGCGAAATAAATCGACGGCGCCGGAGGCTTGCTTCGAAAGTAATCGAAATTTCTTCCAAATGTGCTCGAGATTTGTTTCAATCGTGCTCGAGATTTGTTTCGATTGTGCTCAAGATTTGTTTCGACTGTTCGCGAGATTTGTTTCGGCTGTTCGCGAGATTTGTTTCGACTATTCGCGAGATTTGTTTTGGCCGTGCTGGAGAATTTCTTCAACACTGCAGGAGGTTTGCTTAAAACGTAATCGAGATTACTTCCAAAAGTGCTCGAGATTTGTTTCAATCGAGCTCGAGATTTGTTTCGATTGGGCTCAAGATTTGTTTCGGCTGTTCGCGAGATTTGTTTCGGCTATTCGCGAGACTTGTTTCGACCATTCGCGAGATTTGTTTTGACCGTGCTCGAGAATTTCTTCGACACTGCAGGAGGTTTGATTAAAACGTAATCAAGATTACTTCCAAAAGTGCTCGAGATTTGTTTCGATCGTGCTCGAGATTTGTTTCGACTGTGCTCGAGATTTGTTTTGACTATGCTTAAGAAATATTTCGACGGCGCAGGAGGTTTGCTTCGAGTGTAATCGAAATTTCTTCCAAAAGTGCTCGAGATTTGTTTCAACCGTGCTCGAGATTTGGTTCGAATGTGCTCAAGTTTTGTTTCGGCTGTTCGCGAGATTTGTTTCGACCATTCGCGAGATTTGTTTTGGACGTGCTGGAGAATTTCTTCGACACTGCAAGAGGTTTGCTTAAAACGTAATCGAGATTACTTCCAAAAATGCTCGAGATTTGTTTCAACCGAGCTCGAGATTTGTTTCGATTGGGCTCAAGATTTGTTTCGGCTGTTCGCGAGATTTGTTTCGGCTATTCGCGAGACTTGTTTTGACCCTTCGCGAGATTTGTTTTGACCGTGCTCGAGAATTTCTTCGACACTGCAGGAGGTTTGCTTAAAACGTAATCAAGATTACTTCCAAAAGTGCTCGAGATTTGTTTCGATCGTGCTCGAGATTTGTTTCGACTGTGCTCGAGATTTGTTTTGACCCTGCTTAAGAAATATTTCGACGGCACAGGAGGTTTGCTTCTAGTGTAATCGAAATTTCTTCCAAAAGTGCTCGAGATTTGTTTCAACCGTGCTCGAGATTTGGTTCGAATGTGCTCAAGTTTTGTTTCGACTGTTCGCGAGATTTGTTTTGGCTGCTCGCGAGACTTGTTTCGACCATTCGCGAGAAATGTTTTGACCGTGCTCGAGAATTTCTTCGACAGTGCAGGAGGTTTGCTTCGACCGTAATCGAGATTTCTTCCAAACGTGCTCGAGATTTGTTTCAATCGTGCTCGAGATTTGTTTCGATTGTGCTCGAAGTTTTTTTTGATCATGCTTGCGAAATAATTCGACGGCGCAGGAGGTTTGCTTCGAGCGTAATCGAAATTTCTTCCAAACGTTCTTCCAAACGCGCTTGTTTCAACAGTGCTAGCAATTTGTTTCGAATGTGCTCGAGATTTGTTTCGACTGTTCGCGAGATTTGTTTCGGCTGTTCGCGAGATTTGTTTCGACCATTTATTTTGACCGTGCTCGACAATTTTTTCAACAGTGCAGGAGGTTTGCTTCGACCGTAATCAAGATTTCTTCCAAACGTGCTCAAGATTTGTTTCGACTGTGCTGGAAATTTGTTTGAACCGTGCTTGCGTTTTTTTGATCGTGCTCGAGATTTGTTCCGACCGTGCTCGAGATTTCATTCGACCGTGCTCGAGAATTTTTGCTTGGACCATATTCGAGAAGTACTTCAACCGTAGCTCAATGAAAATTTTGACAGCGCTCGAAACGCGCTTTGTCTCTGTTCGAGGTATATTTGAGCGTGGCATGCTCGAGATAATTCGCGTTAGTCAAAACAGTCTTTTTCTGACTTTCTCATCACTTATTCTTTTTTAAAAAAATTTTCTAAAAGCGTGAAAAATCAACAACAATCAAAAAGTTTGTGTTATGAAAGCTCAAAATTCCGACATCGTTAGTGCATTTAAAATACTCTTTTTTAATGTTCATCTTGATTATATGTTTTTACCCTGCTCAATTTATGTTTCGATCGCGCTCAAGGTTTGTTTCGTACGGGCTCGAGATTTGTTTCGACAGTGCTCGAGATTTTTTTCGACGGTGCTTGAGAAACATATCGACGTGGCAGGAGATTTGCTTGGACCGTAATCGAGATTTCTTGCAAACTTGCTCGAGATTTGTTTCAACCGTGCTCGAGATTTTTATCGAATTCAAGATTTGTTTCAACCGTGCTCGAGATTTGTATCGAATGTGCTCGAGAATTGTTTCGGCTGTTCGCGAGATTTGTTTTGACCATTTGCAGGATTTGTTTCGACCTTGCTCGATAATTTCTTCGACGGTGCAGGAGGTTTGCTTCGACAGTAATCAAGATTTCTTCCAAACGTGCTTAAGAATTGTTTCGACTGTGCTGGAAATTTGTTTGGACCGTGCTCGCAATTTTCCGATCGTGCTCGAGATTTGTTTCGACAGTGCTCGAGATTTATTTCGACGGTGCTTGAGAAACATATCGACGTGGCAGGAGATTTGCTTCGACCGTAATCGAGATTTCTTGCAAACTTGCTCGAGATTTGTTTCAACCGTGCTCGAGATTTGTATCGAATTCGAGATTTGTTTCAACCGTGCTCGAGATTTGTATCGAATGTGCTCGAGAATTGTTTCGGCTGTTCGCGAGATTTGTTTTGACCATTTGCAGGATTTGTTTCGACCTTGCTCGATAATTTCTTCGACGGTGCAGGAGGTTTGCTTCGACAGTAATCAAGATTTCTTCCAAACGTGCTCAAGAATTGTTTCGACTGTGCTGGAAATTTGTTTGGACCGTGCTCGCAATTTTCCGATCGTGCTCGAGATTTGTTTCGACCGTGCTCGAGAATTTTAGTTTGGACCATATTCGAGAAGTACTTCAACCGTAGCTCAATGAAAATTTCGACAGCGCTCGAAACACGCTTCGTCTCTGTTCGAGGTGTATTTGAGCGTGGCATGCTCGAGGTAATTCGCCTTACTCAAAACAGCCTTTTTCTGACTTTCTCATAACTTATTCTTTTTGATAATAATTTTCTACAAGCGTCAAAATTCATCAACAATCAAAAAGTTTGTATTATGAAAGCTCAAAACTCCGACATCGATAGTGCATTTAAGAACTCTGTTTTAATGTTCATCTTGAAGATATGTTTTTACCCTGCTGAATGAATGTTCCGATCGCCTTCAAGGTTTGTTTCGTACGGGCTCGAAATTTGTTTCGATCATGCTCGAGATTTGTTTCGACTGTGCTCGAGATTTATTTCGCCCGTGCTTGAGAAATACATCGACGGTGCAGGAGGTTTGCATGGACAGTAATCGAGACTTCTTCCAAACTTGCTCGAGATTTGTTTCAACCGTGCTCGAGATTTATACCGAATGTGCTCGAGAATTGTTTCGACTTTTCGCGTGATTTGTTTTGGCTGTTCGCGAGATTTGTTTCGACCATTTGCGAGATCTGTTTCGACCGTGCTCGATAATTGCTTCGACGGTGCAGGAGGTTTGCTTCGACCGTGATCAAGATTTCTTCCAAACGTGCTCAAGATGCGTTTTGACTGTGCTGGAGATTTGTTTGGACCGTGCTCGCAATTTTTTTTATCGTGCTCAAGATTTGTTTCGACCATGCTCGAGAATTTTTGTTTGGACCATGTTCGAGAAGTACTTCAACCGTAGCTCAATGAAAATTTCGAAAGAGCTCGAAACGCGCTTCGTCTCTGTTCGAGATATATTTGAGCGTGGCTTTCGCGAGGTAATTCACCTTACTCAAAACAGCTTTTTTTCTGATTTTCTCTTCACTTATTTTTTCTAAAATAATTTTCTAAAAGCGTCAAAAATCAACAACAATCAAAAATTTTGTGTTATGAAAGCTCAAAATTCCGACATCGATAGTGCATTCAAAATACTCTGTTTTAATGTTCATCTTGAAAATATGTTTTTACCCTGCTCAATGAATGTTTCGATCGCGCTCAAGTTTTGTTTCGTACGGGCTCGATATTTGTTTCGATCGTGCTCGAGATTTGTATCGAATGTGCTCGAGAAGTGTTTCGACTGTTCGCGTAATTTGTTTCGGCTGTTCGCGAGATTTGTTTCGACCATT